TTTTATTTGTTGATTAGGGCCGGAGGAAAGTATTGTTGGGTTGGTTTCCTACCTGCGTTTTCCCTCCCGCCCACCCTTTGCATGCATTTCCGGGTTGTTACATGACACGTCAGCAGTGCCACGTCAGACACAGTGACACGTCAGCTACAGTGAAACGTCAGCTACAGTGACACGTCAGCAGTGCCACGTCAGACACAGTGACACGTCAGCTACAGTGACACTTCAGCAGGCCACGTCAACAGTGACACGTCAGCTATAGTGACACGTCAACAGTGACATGTCAGACACAGCGACACGTCAGCTACAGTGACACGTCAACTATGACATGTCAGCTACAGTGCCACGACAGGCACAGTGCCACGTAAGCAGTGCCACGTCAGCAGTGCCACGTCAGACACAGTGCCACGTCAGACACATTGCCACGTCAGCAGTGCCACGTCAGCAACATGACAAGCCTGCCAGGCCAGCTGGCCAATGAGCCCATTGCCGACTACAAAAGGCGCTTCCAGGCTCAGCTCGCATTAATCGAGGCTGAGGAACAATGCCAGCTGGCAGCCAAGGATGCCCAGCTACAGGCTGAAGAAGCGGCAACAGAAGAGAATCTGCGGCTACAGGCCGAAGCAGACGCAGATGCCCAGGCTCGCCGCAAGGAAGCCCAGGATCTGCTGCAGCGACATGAAGCCAACAGCATCGAGAAACTCAAGTTCTGGCACTTTGAACCAAACGGCGACGACGCAACACCGGAAGAGCAGCATAAGGAGTTCCTCTCCAAACTCGTGACACGGTTGTTGTGTGCTTGCAACTACCAACGGTCCAAGTTGGAGAAACAGAACCAGGAACTGCAGCAACAGTACCAGGATCTGAAGACACAGCACCAAGAGTTGGTGAACCTCCGCCGGATGGTGCAGAGCCACGAGGATGCGACACGGGCACTCAATGCCCGTGTACTGGAACTGGAACAGGCAGTACCAGGACCAGATGCTGGTGCCTCCAGCAGTGCACCCTCTAGCCGCCAACTGGAGGAACGCGTTGACCACGTAGTGGCAATGCTGGGCGGCATCAGCAACTTCGCGGCGCCAGCCACCATCAGCAGCCATCTGGACACATTGAAGACCGAGGTCCAGCAACTGCAGTCGACGAACACGGATGGCAATCCAAAGCAATACAAGATGCCAACTTTCAACTTGACAGGTTCGACGACTACACGCATCAGGACCCGGTGCTCTGGTGGGAAGCATTCACGACGCAGCTTCGGATTCTGCGTGTCGCCAAACAC